ACACAACATCACCAAATCATAACAGATGTTGTCATGGGTATTAGATATTAGAAATTATATTTATGAAGTCACAGCCAAAGACTTTAGATTTCTATTGTTTCCTCGGACTATTTGGAAATCATAGTATTTTCTTATTATTTTCAGTGGTCTACAGTTTTCCATGCGCAAAATTTTTGTATTTTGACACCAAGGAGGACCCTGAAAAATCCACTTCAGGAAAATGACAGAACATACAGCATATGACAATTCAATGCCACTTAAGTATCTATATATAAATTCTAAGAACTGTGGGTATGAACAATATCTCCCAGTTAACCTAATAAGCAGCAAAAAAGTATTTTAAAAATATCACATGTATTAGAGATACACAGTTCACTGTCTATAAAATCTTTATGGTATTATGGATTAAGAAGAAAAAAACTCAATGAAACAAACCCCTGCTTAGTCAAGCAAAACAAAGGACAGGAAAAACAATCAAGCCACATAGCTTAGTAAGAGTTAGGCTTTTTAAGAACAGCTTGCTTGTTTGTAATTTTCAGTGGTGTTGCTAATAGCAGAAAGGAAGAAGAGTTTAAATGACAATAGCTTTTTTCATTGTATAAGCATTCATTGTAATGACAAGATGAACTGAAGTCTGCACTTCAAGTAGAGATTTAAACTATATGTTATATATAAAAAAATATAATGTATTCATCCACAAATTGTATTTTGAATGCCAAATACATTCTCTAAGAATTTCAAAGTAAATACACGAATTAAATTAAAATATAAAAGTAACATGTTGGGAACTAAAACGAGAACTTCAGGTTCTAAAGTCAGACTTTTCGATGTCCTTCTGACCTCAGCACAGCAGCATCATTCAAGTTTCCTATACAGTTAACTATTATGTTAACCATATATGTATTTTTACATACTGTATATTGTATAGATATGTATTTTTATGTATTTTTACATAATGTAAAATATGTAAAATGTATTTTTAACTCTACATGTAATAGCCATAACTGAATACATCATGTCTTCTTCATTAGCAGAAACCAGAATTCTTATCAGTGTTGTTATATACAGGTAAAACCAAATTAGTCTGTAAAAATTAGTTTAACTCGAATGCAAGTTATTACAAGTCTACATCAGTCATGGGGTTTTTGCACAATGTCATTACTGGACTGAAGAAACCTGAAAGTACATTTTCACATTGGGCATCTCTTATAATTACATTGTTATTCTGTTAAATTTGATCTTGACTCTATAAACTTCAGGATTTACAATGCTTGGCCTGGAGATAATTAAAACCATCTTGTTATACAATTTGCTTCAAAATCCTGATAAGTAGTCCCAGCTATAAGACCATTCAAATGTGCTCTGGTGTGTTTTATACCTATCTAGGTTAAAAGGAATCAACAATTAAGTAGGTATAGGGAACCATTCTGGGTATACAGCATGCTTGGGATATTTTTTCTCCCCCACAGGATGAACAACTACAGAATGCCTAGTTTTCTTATAACACAATGGTTTTGGAGTAAAGGTTTTGAGGATCCAACTTTTAGGGGTAGTGGGCAGCCAGTCTCCATACAGACTTGTGGGGTTCAGCAACTCTGAGAACTGGTGTCCAAGGGTTCCTTTTAAAACAAATAGTAAAATTCCTGTTTGCTTATGTTGTGGAAGATTGAGTGACAAAACAGCAGCTTAGAAAGCAAACTGCTACTGAAGCTTTAAAATTACATATGTAATAATGGAAGTTTAGCAAGTCTCTGGCTAAAATCATGCAACAGGTTACTTGAGGCTAGTCTGGCTGCTGACTGTGATTTTTCAGACTTTTCCTTTCTAGATTCTGATGAATTATCCTAGCTAGTGATCAGCTCATAAATATTTAGGAGCATCTGTTTTGCTTTTTAGGATAGATGAGATCTGGCATTTCCCCTTACTCCTCAGAGTTTCAAGTGCTAATTGATATGAATTGGAAGCTGGACACTGAGCAATAAACTCCATTCCTGCAACTACATGCGAACACTGTTAGACCAGTCTTGGTGACTGTCCAGGAGTGTGCACCCATGATGTGCTCTGTTTACATTCACAACACAGGAACTAGTGTGCCTCCTTACACTGCACAGGTAAGCCCAGGAACAAAATCTCACAGATCTTTGCGGCATTTCCTATGACTTTGGACACAACTTACCTATGTCATTCATACCTAGAATCCTCCAGCCACAACATAAAGAGAACTGGCTGACTGGTGGCACTGCCTGTTATTATTTTCTAACACAAAAGTAAAAGATAAAAAATGCTGAATGAGGGATTAAAGTCTGAACTGTACTGGTTCAGATTTGCATCTGACAAGCCCCAAAAGGCAGCCAACATGTATCTTCCTTTCTCTCTCCCAACTTCCTCTGTCACCACATTAGCATATGTCTAGAAGCCTCAAGGTCCAGAATCAACACGACCATGGGATATGGCACAAATGTCGTGTTGAGGACAAGAGGAAAATCCTTCTTGGGAAAGAATATGTGTATGAACGTCCATATGGAGGTAGCAGGGAGACCTCAGAATATTTTGAAATTGTGCCTCTGGGAAGCACGAGATAGGATGGCTGGGCCCTGATGTAAAGGCTCCACAGAAGAGACAACTGCTCTCCACTGAAGCCTCAATTTTCTACACCCTTGTGCCAACAGCACTGACCTTTAAACAGTAAGTAGACTGAAGGATGCGATTACACCCCTGTACTCAGCACTTTAAACCCATATCTAGAATACTGCATCCAGTCTTGAGTTCCCTACACAAGACACGTTCACAGACTGAAGTGAATTCAGCAAGGTGTCACCAGGGGCTGAAGCATGTGCCCTGTAAGAAGAGGCTAGGGGAGCTGGGCTGAAAAGAGATGGGTGTGGGTGGATCTAACAGCAGTCCCCCAGTACTTACAACAAAGTTACTGAGAGGACAGAGATGGGCTCTTCACAGCACTGTATGGCAGAGGGTATGATACATTCAACCAAAACAGTGGATGGAAAAAATTTTCTACCAAAAGAACTGTCAAACATTGGAGCAGGTTGCTCCAAGAGGCTATGGAATTCTATGGAATTGCTATCCTTAAAGATTTTCAAGACTCATCTGGAATAAAAGCCCTGAATGACCTGGTCAGAATTCACTGTTGATCCTGCTTTGAGCAGGAGGTTGGCCTAGATGACCTTCTGAAGCCCGTTCCACCCTGAACAATTCTGGTAACACCAGCAAATGGGCACACATTCCTTTCACTTCTTGCACCTTCATCCCCCAAACAAGTCTGTTGCCTGTTCAGCAATAAAAAAAGTGAGTCAACCTCTAATGACTTGTATCAAAAGAGCAATGGCTGCACCACACCTGGGAACTCCCAAAGGGAAATTCTATCAAGCCCATAAAGCACATGGAATCGGCTATGCAGACATGCTCTATTTGTCCAGTGTCATTCTGGACTTTGGTGCAACTGGCCACTATATGGACCTGGGCTGTATGGGAACTCCAGCTTTGATGCTTAGCCCAAGGGTCTCATGGTCTGTGAGATGACACATACTTGTCATTTCCTCTTGTCGTTGTGGGGGATCATTGTGCCTTCTGCTGCAGCCACTGATGTAGCTCTCCCACTGAAAACACCTGGTCTGGGGTATTTTGTCTCCCAGTGTGGCCTGTGTGTTTTTGAGGAGGCATTCCATGTGCACAGGCCCAGGAGTGCAATGTGAGAACACCATGGCACAGGTTCTGCAGTGCTGCGTTATGGACATGTACTTTGAGCAGAGCAAATCTGGAAAATGGGCTCTCCTTGAGAGCACATACAGGTACAGCATCTGCGTGGCTTTAGGTTCTTCCCCTGACACTCCAGATGAGATAGCGTAATAATGCACTCCAAGGCTGATAAAAGGTGGACGCTCAGGATCTTATGTTCAGGGTGAAGCAGGACTACATGAACATAATCTACATTTGCAAGAAGCTGCTATATATACTCTTTACAAAGTGCTGCTTAAAACAAGTTTGTTCTTTTGTGGAGGCATGCACGTGGAAGTGGTTTTATTTTAAGGGCAAGCATATAAATTGATTCTTTATTCCCAGACATACATTCTTTGGGGACTTACACATTAGCCCTACTCTTATAGGCTAGTGAATGACATGTTTTCCTGATAGCCCTCCTAAAACACTGATTAGAAACCTCTTGAAGAAGGGCCTGATCCTAGAGAGGATGCTCTTCACACATACTGCCTTGCATGATTATATACTCAGTAACTTAGGCCCTAAAAAATAAAATTGGATAAAAACAAAATTATGAAAATCAACAAGAGGAAGTATATGAAATGAAGCTGATATACAATGTGATCATAGAAAAGTTTAACCAAATTAGAGTTGTAATCAAGTTCACCTAATTGCTCACAGTTCACAATTGTTAGTGTTATTTTTAAAAAACACATACTTTTACTTAGAAAAAAAAAAAAGCAATTTGTAGGTTTTTCTTCAATGGACAGCGAACCATATTCCATACAGAAGAAAAGAATCATTGCCATTTTACAGGTGACAGTTACAGCAATGCAAAATAACTTGCTTGAAGTTGCTTAACTGTATCAATGAGATAGCAGGAAAGAGAACTCAAAACTCAAAATCACTGAATACTCAACTTCAGATTTTTTTAAAGCTTAGTTTTAAAAATTTAGACATCGTTATCTTGCCATATAAGTACATGGAACTTCATTATGTGTGGTGTCACCTTGAAGAGTTTGTAGAGAGGAGTTTCCTTTTAGGCAGACTAAAATAAACATTTCAATAGAAACAGTCAATGCTGTCAAAATGCAGCACTGGGAAATAAACAGAAAGCTATCATTTGTATTAACTATTCAAAAACTCATCAGAAAGTCAGATACACAGGTTCTAACTATACACACAACTGAATAAGGAGAATCAAAACCATCAGTAACTGTAAATCTGCAAGAGCTGAAATATTATCTGAATGACCACCCTTCCAGATATCCTCATGTTATCCTTACCAGATTAATCAGTCTTCTCATTGCATGTTCATGCGAGCAAATGCATTCACAAGGATCAAATCCACCTTCTGCCATGGCTCTCTGGATTAACCTGAACTTGTCTGTGAACACCTAAGAATAAGAATAAAAGGACAATGAACTCTTTTTCAACTGACCTTATTTTCAAGAGACTCACACATCAAGTTTCAATTCACTTAATGCCAGGATGAAAAGGCAAAAACAAAGCAGGGTAATCCTATTATTCCTTTGGCATCATGAAAGAAGAAGTCTGGTATGTGCAGCTACATTTTGATGTTGCTAAAAGCAGTGTCTCACACAGGCTTCCTTAGAGAGACAATTTTTTTTGCAAGAATTTTTGTCTCCCCTGGGTTTTTTGCACATACCACAATGAAATCCTAACAAACAAGAACCACAGAGATTAAATTCTGCATAGTGGGACTCATAAGTGTATGAACATAACTTGAGAAGTCAAGGGAACTTGTACTCCTAAACCCTAACAAACTGCTGGCATTCTCCCTCTGGATCAATGTACAGGATAATAATTTAAAACCCTTTCTTTGCTAAAGAGAGAAACAATCATCCTTTTTGTATAATGAAAGCAAGTAGCAGGGGTGCAAAAGTGGATGTACTTGGAAACACTTTAAAAATGGAGCTACACATGCTAATTTTAGATCAAAGAAGTAGGTCATTCACTTAGCAATACAGAAAGTTCAAAGAAGCTGTAATGGACATAGTGGGGAATCAATTCTAGGTTATTTGCCTGCTAAAACCACTTACACTGGACATGTCAAGAGTATCTTTACTATGTACGAATAGCTTTCTCAGTGACATAACTGATGGTCAAAATGGGTAGCAGATTGCAAGGCATTTCTACCCTTGTGGTCAAATCAGGGACTGATTTCTCTCAAATGAGCACTCTTACAATTTATTATTAGAACAGTTCTGCTTAATGATACTTTCAAAATATTTTTGTTAACTTGGCATCAGTAAAGCTGGATTCAGATTGTGTTTGTGTTGCACGTGCTGGGGCCCTAATGTGAGATAACTGGCAAGCTTAATAATGCAGCAGCACAGAGCAGATGACCATCTCAATTTCCTAAAACAAGCAGTTTAAGAAGGTGACAGCCATTTGATAAGGGTGTGCTGAATCAACAGATGTGCTCTGCAGTCATCACCTATAAAAACTTACAGCCTTGATCTTACACAAGCATTTTAATGTTTTAACCTCACTAGGAGAAGGAAGAAAAACTCACACAAGGTACCTTCATTCAACAGTATGTATCACTCCAATAGTTCTTCCCTCTTGAGGGAAGACAGATAGAAAAAATAAAACACATTTTAGAAAGTCCTTCCTCTTTCAATGCCTACCACTCCTCTGCATTACCCTCTGTCATGCTGGAGAGAGACAGATGGTAAGAGATATCCATATCTTCATTACACAGTCTGAATAGCAGTGCCCTTAGTCTGCTAGGGTCTCCACATTTTAAAAAGAATACTGAAAATGAGTTTAAAAAATAATTTTGAAGGAATGGAAGAAAGGCTTCTTGCCGAGACACTAAGAAAGAGTAATCTGGCAACGTAGTGAGAAGACGACTGAGAGGTGACTTGATTATGTAGCATACAAGTACCTTGGCATAGAAAAATAAAACTGAGTTCTTCAATGAAGAGGTGATCAACAACTGATGACTAGAAGCTGTAATCAACCAAATTCAAAAGAGAAGAAATGCATACATTTTTAGCATTACACTGACGAGTGCAACAAATTGCCGAAGAAGGGGTGTATTCCCCCTCTTTCAATGCATTCAGACATGCTTCAACCAAATACAGGTCATTGAGTAAAGTACAGAAGCACCCAAGTTTAGATATAATGTTCTGCAATATCCAGATGATCTAATGATTCTTTTTGAGAGTTAATTATAAAGCTACTACACTAACTTTCGTGAAATTATTTCAGAACCACTAGAACTGCATGACAGCAATAGAAGAAATTCTTTAACTAACTACACAAGCTCTCTGGATGATACGCCATGTCAACCAGAATAGCCTTTCTAAAACCATCTTAGCATGACGAACAGGTAAAAGCACCGATTGCCAAATAGTGCAAAACGGTTTCTCTGGACATAATGCTGATATCCAAAAGAAAGTATCTGAACCAGTAAAGTTGCAAAACAATATTTAATTGTAGCTTGAAAGAATTTAGGAGTCAGTAACACATAGTAATGTCACAGCAATGAACAGGGGAGTATTTATATATGACTACAAGAAATCAAAACATCATATAAGAGTCATCACCAATGAAACCAGCCTAACATTCTTTGTAGAGCACACAACTGAAAAAGATTAGACAATAAACAGGGAAAATTAATCTGTCATATAACATCATAAATTTAAGTGGATGTGTGCTAGAAGGAATTTACCCTAAGGCATCTGAATTTTACATGAGAAATTACCTTAATGAGCTAAAATAACACAGAACACCTGTCACCAAGTAAAATGCCATCCAAACTTTCAACAAAAAATCCTTTATAAGCTTTCTCACCTTCACATGATACTGAAAGGAATAATCCTTTATCTTTCTTTCCTCCAAGCCTATAACAGGCTCTTTGAACAGCAAAGGTCCTAAGATGGACCATCTCTTTTGGGAACAGCACTAGGTTTTCCCCTGATAAAGATGCTAAACTTGGGTTATTTTATTACTTTAAAAAAAAAAAACAAAACCAAAACACAACAGATAACTAATCCCCTTTATGCAATTATTTTTTTTGCTGGGAACTAGATGAAACAGATTTTATGTTATAAGGAAGAGAGAACCACTCCATACTATATGACGACTTTTACTTGTAAAATTACACTTTGGGGTCTGTATTTCTCATTAAAACATTCTTGGGTTAATAACTGTATTATGTGTAACACGCTTTGAATGCATAAAGTACTAAATATCAACTAAGTTCTGTAATCAGATCCTTAGGTTTATTAATGTTTTGTGACCCTGTGTAAGATTTGGTAATAAGAGACTAGTATTTTTAATATATCACAGAGCTGGATTCCTTGGCTCCACTGTATGCTCTTAGGCAGCCTGTTCCTATCAAAATCCTGTTCCAGAATTGCAATGTGCTTCCTGCCTGCCTCCCAGTACTTGCAATTGTCTGATCTCACGTCAGCAGTTAACTTGGTCTGCCCAGCTCTGACCTCTTTGCTGTGAGTCACGCCAGCTCTCCACCTTTTGCAAATACAGTTCTTCTATGTACAATCTATCACACAAAATGGGAGGACATGCTCCATTCTTTCCCTCATGATCTGGAGGAAGAAAAAAAGGCTTGTAGTTTTAATTTTACTTATTTTTCTGTATGCCTTCCTGTGTATCGTTACCTTCTTTTTCTTGGAACTGGTAAGACCGCAGCAATTGGTAAGGCTGTGATGTCAAATATCTGCAAGTACTTTACTTAAAATTACTGTATTTTGGTTTGGCCATATTACTGCTAGCACAGTATTTAATTCACAGGGTTTACAAACAGCTAGAAGATACAGTTGGTAAATAATGCCAAACCTCACGCTGATAACAGCTGAGATGGTATGTATTACGGCCTCTAGATTAAGCAAACTGATAGCATAATAAGAGAGAGAATTTGTAAACGTGGACAAATATGATATACCATCAAAGAATCAGTATGACCTTTCCAGTGTAAAAAATCCCATAGAAACAATCATGAACACTACTACCAAAATTAAAATATTGTAGTCAGAGCCAGAATTACTGTAATTTGGGAGCAAAGTGGAGGATGATGTCTGATGATTTAAGACAGAAATAAAAGCCCACCATTACCTTTTGATTTGAGCATCTATGTGAAATTGTAGGCAATGAAGCCACACTGAAAAATATTTCTAGTCTCTCATGATTTAAAAAAAATAGCATTCTCAGTTATAGTAATTATTGCAAATTGTTTCTTCTTTATTATCTTCCCCAATCCCAGTCCTACATCTGTGTATTATATTTTATACACCCTACTATCAAAAAAGCAATCTTTATGGCTACAATCCGAATGGGGTTTTGTACCTGGAGACTCTTCGGTATTTTAAATTATTGCAATGACTATACATTATTTCCCAAATCAGCAACACCTCTCCTGAGTAAATAGCCTGCAGCTGGTGAGCTCTGGAAGACAGAAATTATACTCTGCCTCTCTCCACCCTAATCATTACAAAACTGAATTCCTTTCTAGAATGAAGGCAAACAAGAAGTTTTGACAATTTTCCATGTGCTGGATGCCCTCCAATGTGACTCCAAAAAGATGCTGATTAGCAAAATTGTCAAAGTGCACATATTGGTGATCTCCTTATATAAAGGAGTGTGTAAAAATATAATTCCAGTACTCAATGAAACATTCACTCTATGTGATACATAAATCAGTCACTGCAGTTTTACCATGGACTAAACCTGGCACCTGGCATCAAAACCCTACACCCATTAACTCTTTTCTTTCCTGGATCCAGGCATTTTTAAAATGTAGACTATCACACACACAATACATACAGTGGCTGAAGATTGGCTCTGCTGAGAACTACTTTTGCTGTGTTGCTATTTTCTTGAAGGTTGAAGGTAAGAAATCCTTGGGAGCAAAATATCTCACCCTACAGCAGACAAGTAACAGAATCTTTCCACATTAAAAGAGAAACAAAACCCTATTCAGCTCCTCCTTATTGTTTTTCATCCAACTGCAGTAACTCAAAGCACAATTGTCAAATATTTCTAAGAGGCCATAAATTTAATTTTGCTTCCGAGTTCAGTTTGAGAGAAGTGTGGCAGAACAAATTAAAATATGTATATAATTTAAAATAAAAATGTAGAAAGAAAGCAAATAACTTGTTATGCCTCTGCAGGCATTCTGAAAAACGACAAAGGGCTACAATAGCAAAAGTTGTACAACATACAGAGCACGAACAATTCACTGCCCCAAAGATAAAACGTTCATTTTATCTTACTGCCAGAGGCAGAAGCCCTCTCTCCTATACTCTTCCATGATCTCCTAAAGGATTCAGTTTTCCATGAAAAGGAGTTGTTCTGTCTTTTTACCCGCACCTAAGCCCTTTCAGTGTCCATGTTTTCTTGCAGT